ACAGCAGCAAGGGAGCGTACAGATTTTGCCGCAAATCGTCGCCGAACGTCACGGAGGAGATGAGGATCGAAGCCTTTGGCTCATAAAGGCGTTTGAGAGCATCTAATCCAATTTGTTGCTGGGCTGCTGGTTGAGCGCCACGTACAATGAGCCACGATCGGGATGACCACGAAGAGTAAGTAAACATCTGATCTGAGAAGGATGATCTGGTAGTTGCGGCGTGATAGTCCTGGACGAAGAATCACACATGTAGCCCAGCACTTTGGTATCATTCTGGGTCTCCAGCATCACAGGGGGACGATAAAATTCCAGGGAGAGAAAATTCATGAGTACCGTTGTGGACGGGGCCGAATCACGCAGCAGGATGAAGCGATTGTCGACATAGCGCTCTTGCCACATCACCCCGAAGTCGGACATGCGAAATCGAAGAGAGCACATGGTTTGATGCTAGAAGAAGTCCTCGACTGTAGCAACCAGATTGCAGTGTGGGGGCGCCGGGTGATCCCATGGCAACACCACGTTCCTGCCGGAACAAGTAGCCATTAATCTCAAATGACCGTTATCAATGACAAAGTCAAGGAGGCATCGAAGGTCTTGTTCACGAAAGGTTCGAGGGACCTTGGTTTGACGGCGCCACTGCCTTTGAACATGCGACGTCGATGATCCGACTTCACCCCGTACACCGACCAATGTGAAGATCTGCGGAGACCAACTACTTGGTCATATCGATGCAGCAGGACTTGTAGTGCTTGATGGAAACGCTCCGTGGGTATGGATGTAAAGAAACCGGAAAGGTCCTGAGATACCAGGTGAAAGTGTTCGGTGGGCTCTTCATGTAATAGCGCACCCCAAAGCTGCTGGACTAGCTCCTGAACCGAAAGTTGACCTGGTGCGTCTGGAAAGGTGACTTTGGTGAGTTCAAAGAGGAGGGCGCCGAAGACCGTGAGGAGGGGTGCTGCCCACGTGCGAAAGAAAGAAATAATCGGTCTCGCTTTTATGCGAGCCGTGGGCAACGGTGCCTGTAGTCGAAGTCCCAAGCGTAACGCTGTTGTAGTAGAGCAGGTATCGTAGTGACAACTTCAGAGCGAAAAGATGCTGCAGACTCACGGCACAGCGAAAAGACATCACCTGTGCAAAAGGTCTTGTGCATCAGTGTGGCAAATAACGAAGGACAAATCACATGAGCACGCGAGGGGAAATGATCCGCTGGGATTACAACCCACGAGGACAGGGAAACAATAGTGCGTCGCAGTGACGCGGAAGTCCAATGCGCGTGGTCTTGAATGTTAGAGCGATGTGCATCGATCAACTCCGTCAGAACAGGAAACTGGTTCCATGTATATGCCAGCGACGAGCCAATCTACGAAGCTGCATGGTAAAACGCTGTTGAAGCATGTCAACATCACCAAAATACTGATCTTTCGATGCAGTCATGATGTCAAGGTCAATGTCCGCGTTGATGCGCGAGAACTCATCAACAATCACGGCATGATCATGTGCACGAAACAGGTTGCAGGCATCGATGCCCGAACAGCGGCACCGAAAAGACGTGTCAGGAGTCCACCTGCGTTGCCATGAGCGGTAGTTGTAGATCCTGTCTCCCAAGGTAGCACTGCGAGTTTCCACAACACGGATCTTTGGAAGAAATAGAGAAGGAAACAGATCACGATGTGATGCTACCCAACGTTGCAACCATGTTCCAAGCTGAGCCTTCCAATTCTGAACGTGTAGAGGTGGGAGAAGCAGTTGAGTCATGGTACTCGGTAATTGAAGTTGTCGTTTGCGCATAACCTGGGCGAGGAGTTTCTGCGTCTTGGAACGAAAAGGCTCGTTGACGAAGATGGAGAGTCGCAGGAAGTAGTATAGCTGGGTGGGTGGAAAAGCCGCCGATAGCAGATCGCGCATAGCTTGAAACGATGCACCTGTGTTGGATCCCAGTTGATAAAGAGTGGAGTAGTGTGCTTGAATGTCATCCAACATCTCGGGTCGTAATTGCCGATGAAGATCAGGATGTAGTCGTCGCCGAAAGCGCTTATGTAGCGAGAGTGAGGTAGGCGATGACAACGAATGACGCCGAAAGTCAACCAGATGTTCACGGAAACCAATTTTCCGAAGAAGTCTGTGCACTCAGGGAGCGTTTAGATGCGGACGTAGCATGTATTGCCACTTGCTTTCCTGGACCCAAATCGAAGAAAGGAATGGCACAGAAAAGCCAGTAGGTATTGGATCGCTTCCAGTAGTGAAGCGCAGGCTCAAAGAAGGCATGATGCCCCCGTAGTAGTTGTAGAAATTTGCGGCTGCGTGAATGTTCACGGCGAAGAACATCCTGATCGGTTGCTCCAACATAGTGGGGACTATGCCATGGTGAGAGTCTGAGGTAGACGCATGGTTGCTGATGGTGACCTGGATCCTGAATGAAGTCAACGAGGTCCGGGAAGCGTCCGCAGTCATCGAAGGTGTCGCATATCCGCAAAAGTAGAGCGCATGATGTCACACAGCAGTGACGTCTTGTAAAAATGAAGAACCTCGAAGAACGGCGGAATGTACCCATGGTTTTGAGAAATGAGACGCTGCAAAAAACAGATCAACAGCTGGGCAGTGTTCCGACATTTGTGAAGCTCATACCTGTTGGCCATAGTATGAGATGAACGCGACATGGAATGTAACGGAATCTGAAGTGCAATACAAACGAGGTCTAACTGAGGCAACTGCTGTGTGGACTCATACTCATCCATTGGGATCGACGGTGGTGGAAGTCCAGGAAAACAGTACTGCCAGCACGTAGAGAACACCGTCAGCGAATTCAGAAAAGTAGCCAAAGAATGCCATTGTACAACGTCGTCAAAGATTCCACTGTGGCAAAGTTCAGTCCACATGATGGATATGCAACCAAGGAAGGCTACAAGGTGGCGGCGACATGCATTCAAGAGACAATGAGCACCAAGCAACTCACAAGGCAAGTAGAGACAAACAAGCAATGTGCAAGAAGAGTACGGACAAGTTTTGAACCGTTCGTCATCTACGACGCAACTGCCACTCCGGGCTAATATGCAAGCGATGGAAACTGTTCAACCGATGAGTACGCGGGCAGTCACGATGAGGTGACACAGCGCTTTGTCCGTGAGCTTGGTGATGTAGCCGGGTTCAAGTCCCCACAGAGCGGCCATAGCTGCAAACGTAGGTGCATCTCCTTTTGGCATGCGTTGAGCCTGAAAGAGCTGGGTCGACATAGATTCCAAAGACTTGTTGCCGTTGAGGCGGGATGGGTGATTGGCCCACGTAACCAATGACGCCACTGTAGTGGTAGTGGGCGATTGCTTGAGATACAAGCGTGGTTGATCACTGGTCCATGCGTAGTGCTTGATGATGTCTTCTGGCGTGCTGCGCATGGTGAGCTGCTGTGACGCCGCCGGCTTGGAAGGCGGGGAGGAAAGTCCGTGAAGAGACTGGATGATCCGTGGTTGTTGCTGAACCGAACCATCAAACGACTTGGCATCGAGGGCCGCCGCACTGACCGTGGGCAGGGAGCTGGTCGGCGTCGAAGATTGTGAGTGGTTGGTCGGCGGCGGTGTAACCAACTCTGCATCCTCTTTCTGAGATGGTAACGTTGGGGAAGACGAAGCTCGTTGTGACGCCGAATGTTGAGCCTGGAGCAACTCATGAGCACGATGTAGGTCATTGAACTTCTTGAGCATGTCTTCTGCTTGGGTAGAGGGCGTAAGAGTCGCGTGATGTTGGTGAAGAAATTGAAGCACCAGATTGGCCAAGTGGTCGTGAACCTTGATGCGCTGATTGAAGTCGTCAAGGTTGAGCCCCAGCGAATTGGCAAGGTCCTTTTCCAAAGTAAGCAGGTTGAGCGGCTGCGATCGTTGCAGTAGTTTTGAACAGGTACTCCAAAGCAGGGCCTCGGTGCGGGTACGAAATCCTTCCCACGTCACGAATCTCCCGTGAGCAAATGGTCGCAGTAGCCAGTTGGTAATGCCCCCCGTGTATGACCTGAACCAGGCGAACATCCCGGATGTCCATGCCAGACATGTCACGTAGAGAATTGTGCGGGGTGCTGGCAACCGTCATGGGCAGGCTGAAATTGTAGAGTTGGTTGATGTCGAACATGCCATTTTTGAGGCCGAACTGGTAGCGCAGCTGGGTATCCAGGCGATGGTGTAGCTTGGGAAGAAGTGACCGGTGGTGGCATCACGGGCGTCACGAACTTGGCTGGTGCGGAGGAAACGGCATCATGTAGTTGACCGGAGCAAGATGAAATTGCTGCGTAGAGGAGGGGTTCGATTGATAGTTGCCTGGCGGCACCGGAAAAGTACTGGAAGTGTTGTAGCCCGAATTGTGTTGCCAGGAGACCAAGTTGTTCCAATCCATGCCATCCGAGACCTGGTTGTCATTGTGTTCACGTCTGCGTGCTTTGCGAGGTTGAGAGGAGGGACTCCGATCCCGTCTGCGCCGAGTTCTGGATCTGTCTCGATCATCCCGGCGTGACATGACGAAACAGCAACACGTCCGGAAATGGTCAAGCTCGTCCTTGAGGCAGGATACAAACCACAATCAACGACAACTCAAGACCATGTACATGCATGTGAATCGACCGACAAACTGCCAGCAGCGACGTCCAGGATTGTGAAACTTAACTATGAAGAGGTGGCTGTCTTCCCTTTAGTGAAACCTCGTTCCTGTTTAAACGTGAGATTCCGCTGCTCTATGATAAGCACGTTGAGGTCAAATTTTCCGGCGTACCGGCCCGGGGTCACACAATAAATACACCCGAGGGTCCCCCACGAATGGGGTGTTCACACACACACACACACACACACGAGAGCACACAAACCAAGGAAACACAAGGCCCAACCTTGTCTCATATCCAGAAAACCCCAAACCCTAAGCCACAAAACCTGCTGGTGATCTCCACTTCACCTGTCCTGGATCTGGTCAGGTTTTCCGGAGTGCCGTGTTTCTAGAGATTCTAAGACTGAGCACAGATTGCCCCTGTCCTTGACTGTGATGTACTCATCCCACTCTGAAGCGTCCTCCCAGGGATCCTCTTCCCACTCCCACTCTTGCCATTCCTGCGGCGTAAGCGGAAGCCTCACTGCCTCACATCAAAGTCCCGTGAGTCTGCCTTGGATTCGTATGTCCAAGGACTGCCTTTCGCGTAGCCTTTCCAGTCCTGAGAAAACTGTTGCTTGTCGTTGCGTGTGACTCTGCAGACTCTCGGGTGCGCGCCTGTCCGGATTGCCAGCTCCACTCTGCCCAACCCCACTCGCTCCAGCCATCCCAGCCCTAAGCAAAACGCGACGAACGGGACGGGACGAAACGTCGCACAAAGTTCACCGATTCGCTGCGCCTTCTGCCGTCCTTTCGAATCTGGCGCAAGGTGTGGAACAAAACAGGGCGAGCTCACACAGGAGAAACAGAAAACTGTGCAAAAGCTAAATGGCAGGAACAACGTCTCACTCACAGCTTCAGAATGCCTTCTTCACCTCGCGAGTTGTTGAGCAGTGCCTGCGAGTCACAGCAAAGCTCATGAAATCTCATGGTGCAGCGCACGCGCGCAAATCGGCCTCCACAGCTGGCGCAAGTGTGCTGGAAGCTTGGCCCACCGGACCAAAGATCCTGAGGTTCGCTGACTTTCGCCTCTTTCACCTTTCACCTCCGCTCGCCCGTCCTGCGATCACTTCGGGCTTCCTTGGCGACGCACCACATGCCTTTCATGCCTTTGCCTTTGGGCTCCCGTTGGGCTTCCGGCTTGTGCAGCCAGGCGGATCTGCCGGCGCACCATGCCCGCTTGGCGGGCAGCTGCTCCAGCGTCTTTCCCCAGGCCTTTGCCTCTCTCAGCCCAGATCCAACTGATCCAACTGATCCAAGAGCACAACCAAACAACCAAGCTCCAGATACATGATGCAAATGCCAAGGTATGACTGGATAGACTTCCAATGTCACCTGGGGGGCCCAGCCGCTGCGGTCTGACCTTGGCTCAAAGAGCTGATCCTTTGCATTCACTGGCACATGACAGCTAAGCACTCATGTGTGGCATCACCTTGGGAAACCTGAATGCAGAAATAGAGTACGGAACTTGGGCACAGGATACTTGAAGCAGCCGTTGAACCGCTGCGTCGCTTGAGGAGAAACAAGGTGGGCGCCGATTGTTTCAGCCCTGTCTCGTTGCTTAGCCGCCTGCCGCAAACCGTTGGCGACATCTTCCTTCTTGGCCACCCACTTGGACATCAACTGGCGTTCAACAACTTGTTAAATTTGCAACTGTGCTAGCCCGGCCCAAGCCGATGTCTCAGCAGCTCTTGGGTTGAGCCTTGCAATCCGGCTGCAAGTGTCACGGGCAGCGGGACCTCGGAGCTAAATAGGCAAGGAACTCAGACCGTGTGAACTGTCTGAGTTTGCAGGCGAAGGGAGTCTGGCCAGGGGGAAAGGATTGAAAATGGTGGGGCTCAGGTGGCATCCTCGAGCCGAAAGAGAGGCAGACTTTGGCATATCGTAGCGCTCCATGCTTCAACACCAAGCAGTTCCCGACGGCGCACCCCAGCTTTCTCATAATGCAAAGTCACTACATTTCGCAGGTGCATTCCCTTGCTACCGGCTGCTACGGCTGCTTCGGCTACCTTGGCTCTTGGGTCTCGTTCCCCCCCCCCCCCCCGCCCCCCACACCTTGCCCTGCCCGCGCGGCCGGGGAGCTACTGCTTCGACGCCTTCTTCTCCTTCTTCTTCTGCTGTCACTTGAGCCACACCGCTGCCTATGAGACAAACACACAACTCGAACGAAAAACAAAAACTCTCAGCGCCACTGTGCCACTATGCCACTCTCCTGGGCCTCGATGAGCGGGACGATCGCCGTCGGCCTAGTCGCTCGCCAATGTTCCTCGCCTATGTTTCTTCTCTTGCCTAGGGTTCCTTCCTATTTCTTTCAGACATTGGCTGTCCTTTCCTTCTCGGCTTCTTCTCTCTCCGCTTTCCTTCTCCCCTTTTCGTTCATTCTCTTTTCCACTTTTCTTTCGTTTCTCCGACGCGTTCTCTCTCTCTCTCTCGTCTCTTTCCGCCTCTTTCCGCTTCTTTCCAACTCGTCAACTCGTTTCTCTGGACTTAGCCGAGCGCGTGAGCGCCGCCGTGACCTGGACCGCGACTTGCGCCGTGACCTGCACGGCACATGAAAGGACTGAAGACCGGCAAGCAAAGAAACGAGGAAACCGAAGAAACGCGAAGCATCCTAGCTTCGAGAAAGGGATGCCAGTCGGGGAAACGCCAGAGAAATACTGCAAGTGCTTTATGGAGAAAAGCGAGGGAAAGACTCGGAAAGTACATGGAGTCGACAGGTCAAGTTCCAAGGCCTACCAGGCGACGTCCGTTTGTCGTCCGTTTCAGCCCGGGCCTGCCAATCGAAGGCACTCCCAAGACGTGCCATGATCTAAAGTGAAAAGCTTAGGTTGCATGGTTTGCAAGCGCAGAACCAAGCTTGCAGGGGTCATGATGCTGTTGGCCAAGCAAAGGATCCCTCAAAAAGCAACACTTGCTGCCCAGGTCGATCAAGCATGGTGCACACTGCACACACCATGTGGTAGGCCAAAACCTGACAATTGGGCTAACTAGCCAGACTCTTCTCGGGCCTCCTCTCTGCTTCGGTTGGCTTTGGAGACGGTGAGGGTGCTCCCCTTCGGCACGAGTTTTGGTCACAGCACGCTCCGAAAATGTCCGCCTCAAACTTCGTGCCGTTCATCTCCTTGATGGCCTACAAAGGACTTCAACCCAAGCACCCGCTTCGCGAAGCATTCAAAAGCAGTCCGCCTCTGTGGCCTCTCTCTCGTCAACAAACCGAACGAAGGCGAAGGGTCGAGGCCTGCATAGGATCGAAAAAGCGAGGGCCTCGCTAAGCAAAGGGCCTATCGGAATATCTCTCCCTCGGCACGAAGACATCGCCAATGTCACCAAATCTGGCGTCGAAGATTCCAAAACAACACATTGTGGACATGGACGACGAGCGCCTCTCAAACTCCCGGCGCAGCTTTTCTGCGTTCCAGTTCTCTGGAATGGCCCCGGTCACATCCACCTGCGACAGCACCTGTGCCTCCAAAGCCTTTACAAGCTCCTGATCCTGTTAAGGGCAAAGACGGCAAAAATGGCATGGCGACGGCTGAACACGTGGCACCTTGAGAGAGGTCCTTGGATGGCAAGGGAGGCAACTGGCGCACTCACATGGAGCAAACGCTCCGAGCCCTGCGATTTCAGCGCTGACTGCTGGCGATTGACATGCCAGAAATGTCGGGAAGACCTCCTGGCGCCATGGCTGCCTCTTTGGCTGCTGCCTCTTGCCATCTTGAGCTGAGTCACGTCGAAGCGTCCATTAGTCCACGAGTTGCTCAGATCCGTCGTTCGGCTGTCAGTTCGAGCTTTTCTGCGCAAAAGAGTCTAGGCCTGCGAATTGCTGGATGTTGCTGGATAAGGGGCATGCTAATGGCATCATCTCTTCAGACTTCGCATCCAGCAATCCCGCGCACGCACAGCTGCAAGAGCCCTCGCTGGAGCTGAGCGGCTGAGCGGCTAAGCGGCTGTGCTAGTGAAACACTATGCAAGGCAAGACAAGCGAATTGAAAATTGTTTCGCCAATGCCCTATGGATGCGCGTCCAGATTCCGGAATCGAACTGCCAAGGCAGACTCCTGGACACTGGCGTTCAGTAGCCGTCTCAACGAAGCAGGCGGTAAGAACGAACGTGATTTCCCATCCGCGCCTCCGCGCCTCCGCGCCTCCGCGCCTCCTCATCTTCGCCAAAGCTTGGAGACGCCTATGCGTGTTGCCCCCCCTTTGAGTAAGAACTAAAGCGTCCAAGTTACGACAGCTCAGACACTGGCCATTAAAGCAAGAGCAACCTCGTTCGGATGCTGGCCTTAGAATGGGCGTGCCCGTCCAACCTTTTTGAAGCACGTGACTCACTGCAAAAAAAAACAAATTGCCAAGCCACGGTTGCGCCGGTTGCGCCGAAGGCGCTGCTTCCTGAACGGGGAACAGGAATTGGAAGAGGGATGCGCTTTTGCTCTCCTTGGAGCACTCCACGGGCTTGGCATCCAATTCTACCACTTTGGCCGCTTTGGCCAATTCCTTCTCGCGCACCAAGGCACGGTTCAGTGAGCGGAGCGAGCCTTCTCCCCCAGTCTCGGCCTGCCAGGTGCGTGCACGGCCGAAATCTTGGGGGCACCCGGGAGACGACGTGGAGGTCGATGCCACTGATGCACACTGCAGCTTCACTGGCTACGTGGCACAAGATGCTTCGCCTCATGCAAGTCGCGCAGTCCTTCTTTACCTCGTCAGCCTCCTACTTGACGCCGAACACAGCCAACGTTTGAGCACACTCTGCACAAACGAGTCACGAATGCCTGCCTCTGCTTGCCTTGCAAATGACATGTCTGCACCAGTTGTTGACTGTCGGACATTAAGGTCACGGCAGGGCGGGCTGCAACTTCACCTGGACAGTGACAAGTTTGGGTGAATCAGGGGCATATGGTCCTAATCCTTGCCTCCTTCTCCTCGAGCTCATCGAAATCAAACATGCCTGACGTGTCTGGCCCATGCCTTCCGTTGCATGGCCCCGGATGTGTCCTTACTCTTGCAAGCTTAGACAGTGTCAAGGTGGGACCTGCATGTCCCAAGCCCAACAGGAAATCTGCCCGCCTCACGCGGCAGCCACGGAAGAAATGTTGGCCACTATCTAAGCGCTTTCGAGAAGTAACCGAGGCACGTGTGCGTGTATGTCTTTCCTACGTGTATTGCAAAAGTCTTTGCCAGGCCACTAGGCCTCATGAAATCACTATGCCTCATGAAATCAGCCTCGTCAACTCCCTCATCAAGTGAATATTTGTGTTTGTTGCATGCCAGTTGGTTGGCCAAAGTTCTGACCTTTGATCACGGGGCTGACGGGGGGGGGCTCTCTGTTTTCCAAACCATTGAACTAAGGGGCATTCATTGCACGCACAATAAAAACACGAGTTCGCTGCACTTCGCTCCTCGTGTACCAATACCAACAATGCCTCTACCAAGAACTTCCGGTACACACCAGGGCCTTACCTGACACAGATCCAGGGCCACAGCGACTGCTACCACCTGAAAACATCTTCCAAACAAGCTGGCAGCGCACGTAGATGTCGCTTGACTGGCACATCGCGTGGGTCGGTTTGAGGGCCTTTTCCACAATGGGCCGCTTGATTTGCATGATGGGTGTGTTGGGTCTTGAAGGCATTGGGGCAAACCTTGCTGTTGTCATTGGTCTTAATGGCGCGATCGTTTTGATCTCATCCGAAGCCTCGCGAGTTTTTGTTCGTGAAGGGTTCATATTGTCAATGGCGACGGCTCGAGACCCGGGAAGCCAGCGCGCGCACGGCCGCTTCGCGGCGCTTCCCATTCCCAAGCACCCGTGGAAGCGCGATTTTTAGCAAACGTGACGATTTGGTTAAAAATCAAGAGCCATGGGAGGCATCCAGACGGCTGAACATACTTGAACGGAAATCATCTTGCAGACGCAGCTGCGGGTGCATCAGAGTTTGGCTTCTCAGGAACGGACCTATTGAAGACTGTTCTTGCTCAACACAAGGGTCTGCTTGAGCGTACTACGTGCGCCATGGCAGGCAGAGCGGATCCGAAAGGGAAAAAAACAAAACTCATGACAAAAGATTGTTTGAAGCTATTCCGGCAAGAACACTAGCAATATTTGTACTGGGGCAAGACTTAAAAGAACAGTCTGGCACCATGGGTTCAGTCACTACTGCGGCCTTGCCCGGACACACAAGATGTCCCAGACGTGACTGTGAATTCCTTTTCAATTTTAAGCTCACAACCTAATCAAGAATTCCGGTGAATCTTGGCACGAAAAACAAAATTACGCATGCAGTGCCGGATGTCGACCAAAGGGCACTCTTGATTGCTGCCGCTCGCGAGAGAGCTGAGAAGCTTCAGAGATTCACTTGTTGCCTTGGGAAAGGCTTTGCAAGACCCGCTATACCCTGCGCAAATCCTGAGATTGCAATGTCACTAGCAAACGTGATAGGATACGATCCCTCATGGGGCCTAGGCAGAGATCGCAAATGCTTATGCAAGAATTGCTGGTTCAGATCCTTTTTGCGAGAACCCGAATTGGTTTGCCAGCCATGCCGGCCATTCCGACACTTGATGCTGCCATTCAGTTCCAGGTGAAGCCCTGCCGACTCTGCGCAGCTCAGCCCGGATCAACCAACAATCCTGACTCCAAGGCAAGGCGCATCGAGCCTGGTCAGGAGGGCCCACAAGCCCGCCAAAAGCGCACACACCAGGCACGAGGCAAGGAAGAACAAACGCAGCAACTGGAAAAGCATAAAACACTTAGTCCACAAGTACTCAAGTCAAAACACAAACGCCCTTTCGGTACGAAGTCTGTCAAGCTGCACCAACTACATGAATCCAACCATCTGCATGAACAAAACAGAGATTAGCTCTACACGCATTTTGCACACAATTTGCTGTGCACTACACATGTAGCACCCCTTACGCAGGCCCAAAACGAACTTTGCGCAGTGCCTTCTCACTGTCGCGGCTCTGGCGTTGGAAAACGAGTGAAGCTACTGTCTTTGCACGAATTGTCATCTCGCGCACACAGACACCAATGTTCATTCGTATGAGGACTCAGGAAACAAAGTTAGCTTTCAGTGCTGTCCACTCTAAAAATCATTTCTGCTGCATAGTTGCAAAAATTGTTCATACTCTCTCACGGAACTCGTCCATGGTGGTTCTTCCATCTGACAAGGCTTGCACGATCGCCTCAAAGCGATCACCAGGTGTTTGCTCTGGCTTGGTGGGCGCCCCAGAGCATCTGGGCAATTCAAACGGTAAATGTTGTTAGAAGAAACACAAGCCCGACCGACCAAAGCGTTCTGCTCCTTTTTAGTAGGCGTTGCTCAGAAGTCCAGGCTCGGGGATGACAAAACGTGTCCATCCCCTTCACCTGCATCCCCATGCGGAGCCTGCACAGATACCCCCAAGGTTAACAACGCGTGTGTTAAGGCATGTTGCACTGCTCCTAGCTTGAACCCAAACATGAAACCTCAAAAGAACAAAGCTCGTCCGAGGCGGCCGCAGTTCTTTTTACCGGGATTGCTGAAAGTTGCAAAGGCAAGACAATGCGTGTCCTTGCGTATAAATGCAGTGCTTGGGGGGCGCGGCATGCGTGCCCACGCCCCAAGGTCCGGAGACCGAAAGTCCGGAGACTCGAGGTCCGGAGACCGAAATTGGTCCGGAGACCTGGTCCGGAGACCAAAGTGCCCGGAGGCCACCCATGAAAGTGCAGAGAAACTGCTACCTATCCTTGCAAAGCCTGGCATAGGGCAGTGCAGGGCGGGTGGGTGGGTTTCAAGAAATGAAACCGCAGGTTTGGGTCAAGGCTAGGAGCGAAACGGCCAACGCATAGTTCGATTCACCACATGCCCTAAACACAAGGGAAAAGAAACCCTAAGCGTTAAGGCATGTTGCACTGCTCCTAGCTTGAACCCAAACATGAAACCTCAAAAGAACAAAGCTCGTCCGAGGCGGCCGCAGTTCTTTTTACCGGGATTGCTGAAAGTTGCACTGCTTCCAGGGCACTAGTGCGCCTGGAGCAGGAGGCACATTGACCCCCCCTTCAGTGTTTCAGGCAACCCCGGTAAAAGCGAACCCGCTGGGCCGAAGGCCTCATCACCCGCCCTTCAGAGTGGGGTTGTACCTGGCAGGGCAGATGCTAGCGTGACCATGCACGCTGGGCTGTGAGCAGCTTGTTATGCAGTGACTGCACTTTTTTCTGGTCAGAGCGGCTTGAGTAAGCGGCTGGCTGACGTTGCCAGTTGTTCTGGCTGACAGGGCAACGGCGGATTTTTGGTCGTGAGGCCATGTCGGATGCAAGTTAGGCTGGTGCAGCGGTGACGGAGGCTGCTGCCAAAGCGCCAGGGCGCATGCATCGGACACAGTTGAATGCCGGCCTGACATCGCTAGGCTTGCAGGGCTGAAGCGTATGCGACTTTCAGGGCGATGGCTGAACCGGGCCAACCGACCTCTGCTGAGATCGTCAGCCCAATCATTGCACCTTCCTGGAACGTGCGTCGGCTGCAGCAGCACATTGTGAGCGTGAGCCCAGAAGGCTGTTAATTGCACAAAGAGTTGCAACGGCCAGGAGGTCGTGAACAGTTTGTTAAGGCTTGCTTCCGTGGCGGAATTGTCTGTGCCTGAAGGCATGCTAAACGAGTAGTGCCCACCACCAATGTGGCTGCGGGTTGCTTGCAGCAGTGCTAACTGTGCCAGAGTTTCGAAGCATGCGATGTACCGCTGTCCTG